GCTAGACAGGTGGTAAATGAATGCAACCAGAAAAAGGGAATTGACTTTGATGAGATCTTCTCTCATGTTGTCAAAATGACTTCTATTAGAATTGTGCTAGGATTAGCTGCGTCTTGATCTTGAGTTGGAGCAGCTTGATTAAAAGAAGGATGATGAAGTTACCATTAGGGAACTTTAAAAAATACACACAAGGGTCGGCTGAAGTTCGTTTATAACCATTGCTTGTCATAAACAAATCAAATTTCCTGTACCATTGCCTTAGTACATGTTTAATCCCATAAAGACTCTTTTTCAGTTTGCAAACAAGCTTTTCTTTCCCTTTCTCTTCAAATCCTTTAGGTTGCTCCATGTAAATTTCTTCATGCAAGTCACCATGAAAAAGGCAGTTTTAACATCAAGCTGCTCCAACTCAAGATCAAGACTTGCAGCTAATCCTAACACATTTTTAATAGAAGTTATTTTGACAAAAGGAGAAAAGATCTCATCAAAGTCAATGCCCATTTTCTAGTTACATCCCTTTACCACTAGTCTGGCTTTGCGCTTCGCATTTCTTGTTCTTGAAAACCCATCTGCTTTTCAAGACTTTCTTGCCCTTGGGAGGCTTCAACACCTCATATGTTTCATTCTTCTGTAAGGACTCTATTTCTTCCTTCATTGCATCAAGCTAAAGATATTTCTATTCAAGAGACAACACTTCTTGATAGTTTTCTAGCTCTCCATCCTCAGTGAGTAAAATGAACTCTGAGCTTTGATACTTTGTTGAAGGTTTGCGCTCTCTGGTTGACCTTCGAACCTGTGCATCCTCAAGTTGAGGGGTAAATTGCTCGCCCTGCTCATGAATCTCTTCATCATGAACTTCTTCCTCATCTGATGAAGACTCGTCAAGATCAACACAATCATCATCATGAAAACCGTCATCATCATGAACTGGTACATGACCATCAGGTTGTACCTTACCAACATCTTCATGATTCTCCTCAACATTCTCATCTGTTGGCTGATTTATAGGGGTTATAGGATAAGAGACATCATCAGTAGTATCAAAAGACAATTCTGAAGTAGAAGTATACCTTGTATACAGAAGATCTGCTCCCTTCTCATGCTCAAAGAATACTACATCTCTACTTCTCACAACCTTCTTCTTTTCAGGATTATATAGTCTGAAACCATACTTTTCATCACCATAGCCTAAAAAAACATATGAGTTAGTCTTGGAATCAAGCTTCAATTTCTGATCTTTCGGCACATGCCACTACTAGAAAAAAGCCCAATTCCGACGGATACAGAAATCCGTAGGAAAAATCCGTTGGAGAATATACCATTTACGACGGAAAATTCGTCGGAAATGGTATATTTTCTGACGGATTAAAATTTCGTCGTAAATTTCCGACGAAATTTAGTAAAAAAAAAAATAAAAATAAATGAATAAAAAAGGAAAACCCTAATTAAAACACGGGCCTCCCCCCCACCCCCCACACCCCATTTCATTTCAGCACTCTCTCTCTCTATCTCTCGTTCGCCTCTCTTATCTCCTCTCATCTTCTCTTTCTCTTTCTCTCTCCTCTCCTCTCCTCTCCCCTCTCTTCTAACTCCCCTTCTATCCTCTCCTCCTCCGCCTTCTCATCTTCTCTTTCTATTTCCTCTCCTCCTCCCCTTCTGACGGTGGTGGTGGGTTTAAAACAAAGTAATGGTTTAAGGTGAAATTCGACCATGAAAATACTAGATTTAGTTTTTTCGTTGTCGAATTTGGCCTTATTAAACCAAGTTCGAGGTTAACTTCAAAGCTAATTCAAGTTTAAGGTATGTATGTATTTTTTTAATAATTTTTGGGTTTCCGGCCACCGTAAGTTTGAGGTTAAGTTCGGTCAGGGTTGGGTGTTATGGGTGGGTGGATCTGGGTTTGGCGAGGGTGTAGGTGTTTGTTTTGTCAAAAAAAAGGGTGTAGTGGTGGGTAGATGGGTAGGCTGTTGTTGGGTTGGGTTGGGATTTTTTTTTTCTTTTTTTTTGTTTAATTTTTGGGTTGTGATAGTTTGTTTTGATGGTGGTGGCGGCGTTGGTGGTTTTAGGTGGGTGGTGGGGTGGTTTTCTTAGGTGTGTGTAGGTTAGGGTTAGGGTTACGGGACGGGTAGCGTGGGTGGTGGAACGGGATGGGTTAATTAGGGGGTTGGTGGTGTAGGATAGTGGAACGGGACGGGTTAGGGAGTTGGTGGTGTGGGCTAGTGGAACGGGACGGGTTAGAGGGTTGGTGGTGTGGGTGGTGGAACGGGACGGGTTAGGGGGTTGGTGATGTGGGCTGGTGGTGGGGAGTTAGTTAGGGGCTGGTGTAGTGGCGGTTGTTTGATGTGGGTGGTTGTGGCGGTTGTTTATTTCGTGGTTGGTGGTGGTTGATACGCCGTGCCGTGGTGACGCGACGTTTTTTTTAATTTCTTAAAAACAGCTTCTGACGGAAATTTCCGACGGATTTTCTTGGTGCGGGAAAACCTCCTTCGACATAAAATTCCGTCGGAAATTCTGTCGGAAAATTTTCCGACGGAATTTCTGTCGGAAAAAGACAAATTTCCTACCAAAGCTTTTCCGACAATCGGTTACGACGGAATTCCGTCGGAAATGGGTTTTTTGACGGATTTTGGGGTGGTTCCGACATAATTTTTCGGTTGGAATTGACCCTTTTCTAGTAGTGTGCATAAATGCCTTGCACCCAAAGACTCTCAAGTGTGAATATGAAGGATCACACCCCTTCCATGCTCTATGAGAAATTTCAAGTCCAAGAGAAACTAATGGAGAATGGTTGATCAAATACGCGACACAATGTGCTTCAGCCTAGAATGTCTTAGGAAGATCATACATTCTAAGCATACATCTCACTTTCTCCACAATGGTTATGTTCATCCTTTCTGTAACTCCATTGTGTTGTGGTGTACCGGGCTCTGTCTTCTCATGTCTAATGCCATGCTGTGAGAAATAATACTTGAACTCTTTCGAAGTATACTCACCACCATTATTAGCTTGAAGACGCTTTAGCTTTCTTTTTTGTCTCTCTTTCTACCATGGCATGAAATTACTGGAAGACCTCGAACACTTGGACTTTTGTCTTCAACATATACACCCAAGTTTTTCGAGTAGCATCATCAATGAAAGTGAAAAATATCTATTGCCACCAAGAGATTCAATTTCAATGGGACCACAAACATCGGAGTGTACTAAATCCAACTTTGTTTGCTTTCTAGTAGACTTCCTAGAAAAGGAAGGTTTATGCTACTTTCCTGCCAACAATGATCACAAGGGTCAAGAGAAACTGTTTTATCAACATGAATCAATAATTTACCTGCTAAAAGTTTCAATCCCTTGTCACTCATATGTCCTAATCTTTAATGCCACAAATTAGGAGAATTCTTCTCTTCAACTACATTCAACTCACCAATACATATAGTCAAGTATGTCTTATACAAAGAGCAACACAACTCGCCTCGAGAAACCGTCATCGAACCCTTAGACAACTTCCAGTTACCATCACCAAATGTATGTCGAAAGCCCTCTAAATCAATAACATTAGAAGACAACTAATCAAGGGGTAGATATGGAATATGGCACACATTCTTCAATGTAAGCACGTATTCAACACTTATCTTCACACGAATATCACCTAACCCAACAATGCTTGTTGAGCTCTGATTTCCCATCTTCACACTACCAAAGTCACCTGACTTGTAGTTCATGAAGTACTCTCTCCTAGGAACACAATGGTATGAAGCCCCTATATCTACAAGCCACTATGTGTCTGAACTGACAACATGATGACACTCAATGGTTGCACAAATCAAAGTGACCTCATCATCACACTTAGAAGTAGTTGCTGCAGTGTTTTTTATCATCTTCCTCTTTATGTGAATCATTCTTCTTTCTTTGTTCCTTTTTCAAACGGAAACAATACTTCTTGATATGATCAGGTTGTCTTCTTGCAGTAGTTACATGTAGTCACATTTCTTCCAATACTTGATTTGGACCTAATCCTTGAGTTATCATGGCCTTTGGGACCCCTACTCTTGCCTCTTCCGTTGTTCTCAACATAAGAGCTTGTGAATTATCAACTCCCATCTCCTTTCTTCTGATTTCTTCATTGAATGTGTTTTTTTTTTATCACATCCAATGATATCACACCTTTCGAAGTAGAGTTACTCATAGTCACAACCAAAGTTTCCTAACTGGCAAAGAACTCAATAAGAACAAAGCCTACAATTCATCATCAAGAACAATCTTTATTAGTCAACTTGTTAATAATATCCTAAAAGTCATTAAGATGCTCAGAAAATGATGAATTGTATTTCACCCTTCAATGTCAAATTAACAAGTTTCTTAATCAATGAAGCTTTGTTATGTGCGGTCTTCCTTTCATAAAGACCTTCAAGTTTCTTTAACAAATCATATGGGTCGGACTCGTGTGATACATCGTTGAATATGCTAATATCAATCCATTGTCTAATAGTCCCTAAAGTCTTCCTTTTCAACTTTACCTAATCATTATCATCCATCTTTTCAGGTTTTGTTGGTTTAACAATGCTACCATTTGTCTTTGTGGTTGTTTCTTTTGGTTCATGTAAGTCTTTACAATATAACAAATCTTCCATCATAGGTATCCAAATTGAATAATTAGTTGATGTCAATTTAACCATTAAACTACCACTACTCGACTCTATATTGTGATAAATTAAATTCCGGCTCTAATACCAACTGTAGGACCCAAGTAGTGCAGGTTTTACTGGTCCTCATATACATGATGCCCTCCTATACATGTCAAAGTGACTTATGTTTCCGATCGAGAAGCTCATTTTACAATGTTGATGACTGTAAATGATTACATATGATTCTTCTTTTACAAATCAGGTCAATGATTTCAAGTCAATTGAGAAGTTCAAAATTTTCAACACCAACAACTTGTAAGTACGGTGTGGTAATTTGGAAATTTGTTATAGATCATTTCTATAAGCTATTCTTTCTTACAGGTTGTTGATGGAGTTCAGGTTCTTTAACTAGAAACAGCTACTGGTGCTGCAATTAAGGTACTAATTTTGCATTAAAGATCTTATTTGTATGTATTAGTACCAGGAGAGTACATATTAAAACAAACGCTTCTGTTTTTGCAACAGTTCTTTGGTAATGCTATTGGTATAAATGTGCCTTGCTCGATCACGATTTGCTCCTTGTCCAGGTTACTTAACCTACAATTAGAAATGTTACTAATTTGTATTCTAATACATGACATGTTTTACAATGTTATTTGGTTTACTACAGTTGGATCTGTACACTGTTGTTAATGGCTTTGTGATAAAGAACCGGGCTAAAATCAACCCCACTTCAGGAAAGTTCTTTGATTTTTGATGGTTTTAGGTTCTTAGTTAAAATTAAATGTTCGTATGAGCAGGTCAGCAACTTCTTTAGCCAGTTTACGTTTAAACCTGTACCACTGAGCTAGATTGATTTAAGGTGACAAGAGATATGTGGTTTGGTGCTGAAATTGCTCTCAAGGTAATAACCTTATTTTTTTATCTGTTGATATTTGCTAGTTTATTCAAATTAAATTGCTCTCAAAACACCTCATCCCCAGATTTTCATTGCAAGATTTTTTATGAAAAACATTAAGGAAAGTTGAAAGTTGTCTATCAGACCTTGCCTCTCCGGATCTCTATTGCCACCCTTCGATGTAATAAGCTCCAGTAATTGTGCCATTTGCATATGAATACTATACATTGTGTAAGGAGGGTGATCCCATCGTAAAAGGGTCCTTCCTTAGATGCCCATGGCTATTTAAAAGCCTAGGACTTTACACTTGTTAGGGTGTATTAGGATTTGAATTCCTGACTGTTTGGGGGACCTCGAATTAGAATTGATCTTGTCATCACGCTTTTTTTTTATAAGAAACAAGTAGGGAGTCAACTTGACTGTGTCGCTCTGGGTGTTGCGCGCATCTCAATGAGTCGCGCGCGCCAGGCGCGCGTAACTGATTGAGTTGTGCTGGTTTGCGGTTTGCCTTATACGAAAACGCGATTTTAAAACTTCCATAACTTTTTATTGCGAAGTCGGATTAGGCGTGTGAGATATCATTGGAAAGTTATGAATGTCTACTTTCTAATGCCGTTAGAATTAGGTTATAATATTTTATTGATCAAAAGTTATGGCTGTTAGAGTGCAAGGGTGTCGGTTTTAGGGCCCGGTTTAGTGTTTTGATCATAACTTCTTTGTTTTGGCTCGGAATTAGGCTTATAATATACCGTTAGAATTCTCTTTGAAAGGGATATCCATCTGTATAGGACTTTCATAGGAATTTAATGTTTGTTTCAACTGTTTTGCTCGCTTTTTCAACAATGTAGGTTCCATTGGATCCAATCATTGCATTTGACGCATTTGGGTCCGTTATTAATCAAGCTTAAACATGTATGAACATGTTTTAGGCCTAATTAGTAATCATACAAGGCTCTAAGATAAATTGGTTTCAAATATGGGTTTTAACTTACTTCATAATTCTTTTCATAGTCCATAAACATTTCAACTTTGATCTAACATGAAGAACGGATTTTTGTAACATCATCGCACTTCTTTTTGGGACAAGAGGCCAAAAGTAGGTGTCTACACATTGGAAATGAGATGATTATGAACTGTCCTGTGTGTCCAATCCAGTTGACTGATGTGCAATTTGTCTGTTGTCTGATAAAAAAAGTCCAATCCAGTTAACTGATGTGCAATTAACAACTTCCATTTGCAAAATACTTCATATGTCATTAGCCTATTTGCAATTTTTATTTTGAGCAATCACATATTTCCTGCTAAATTTAAGCAAATGTAGGGTTTTTTAGGTATTGAAACACATCCACCTTATATTGCAACAAGGAAAAGTGACCAATAGAGCCAAGTATAGAGTGAAACTGGAAATTTCAAATGGTGTAGTAATCGCAGACAAGGTTAGCAATTTAGCACTCAACATCGATACATACATTATTAATTGATAATTCTCGAGTATTTATTTAAAAGAGTTGCTTCCTTCTGCAGGAAATCAATGGAACTGAGGGACCCTTAAAGTGTTGAGTATCATTGGACCGAAACATACATGATCATCTGACTGATCTTTCCTGTATAGTAATTTCATGGCTCATATATAAGAACGAGGGACAAGTTAATTGAATTTTAATTTTTGGAGATGTATAGTTTGTTTAACAATTCTTTAGCAAAATTGACATCAAAACTTAAGGAGTTTGATTTATACACATTTGTTTTTCTGTTGGTGACAAGTGACACATCTTTTTCTTTCTCTCCTATAGGGTAAGGCACCAAAACTTAAGGAGTTTACATAATTTAATACTTCATATACGCTTTTCTAGATACATAATATGAACCCATTGCATGTGTAAGGAGGGAGATCCCATCGTAAGGGGGTCCTTCCTTAGATGCCCATGGCCATTTAAAAGCCTAGGACTTTACACTTGTTAAGGTGTAGTAGGAATTGAATTCCTGACTGTTTGGGGGACCTTGAATTAGAATTGATTCTATCATCACGCTTTTTTAATAAGAAAAAGTGAAGTAGGAGTCGCCAATGAGTTTTGGGAAAACTCATAAACCTCGTTCATGCCTTTCTTCCATGAGGAGTTCATGGAATAATTAGCACGAATCGTAAGTTTACCCATGCCCAAATTGGTCTACATAAACCAGAAATGAGTTCGGGAGCGAGGGTACTAAAATAACGTTCCTTTTAGGGAAGAATCGTTATCCTAGCCCTAATATGGCCTCTACTAGCTCTTCCTTTTTTACAATTTCATCACCAAACAATATATGCAACGCGATACCTAAAACTAAGTTAATTGATTTTATTTACACACATTAATTCATGTACGAATTACATTGCAACGTAGTTATTCTTTATTTAATTAAATTCGTGAATATGACAACTAAACAATATTCGTCTTGGCTTAAGTGATCAACCAACAATTAATTATTCAATTCTAATCTTATTTAATGCAAGATACTATGTGGAATTAATTAATTAAACCTTTTAAAGTGATCAAGCAACACTAATTAATTAATTAAAGTTCTTTTAAACAAGAAAATAAAAATTATTTATCTAAGTGCTCGGGAATTTACCACTTCTCTTTGCTAGATCTCCGTTTAGAACACTTATGGACACCTTCTTGTTGGGGAACCTCCACCGTAGTAACAAAATATCAAAAGGGGTGAGTGTTTAGGACAAGAGGGGTTAGGTAACACAAGCTCACAAGTTTTTCGCCAGAGTTTAGGGTTGATTTCTGTCTGTTTAAGCCTCTACTTATAGGGAATGAGTAGGTTTAAGGTTTTGAACATTCTGCCGCAGCAGGTGTCGTGCGTAACTAGATTAGTTACGCACGGCCACCCAGCACAAGTGATTGAGATGCGTTGCTATAGGCAGCGAAACTATTTGTCTTGCGCGCAGCTTTATGGCAAGACTCGATTTCCAATTTTTTAGAAATTCCGAATCTTTAACGAGCGCAACTCTGGAAATTGCGCTGAGTGTCACACGCAACTGAATTAGTTGCGTGCGCCAGCCCAGTGCGACTCCTTGAGATGCGCGCCTTGTTTTCTAATGCAACGCTTATTTTGACCTAGGCGCTCCTAAATCCGTCATTATTGGGTTTTAAGTACGGGCTTAAGCCTAATTATGATCGGATTTAATTAATTGGACTTTATTTGGCTTTGTTTCTTGGTTTGGGCTAGTCTTTTGTGTTTTGTGGTTTTAACCAGTTATCCATAAGCATTCTTCAATTCGATCCAACATGAAGATGGTTTTATTTATCGTCATTGCACTTCCTGTCAGGACAGGAGGCCAAAAGTAGGTGTCTACAATATGTATTAATTACAACTTGGATACAAAGCACGTAATTTCAATTTAATGAAGTCTTGAATTAGAACCACAAAACCCCTATGAATTATCAAAGATAATCTTATATGCGCATTTTCATAAACTACTCTGAATCATTGAAGATAACTCCCCTTTGAATTTATGTGTGTACATGTACAACTATAAACCAATCGGTAATATATAGAGTAGCTTACAAAATTTATATGTTGATCATCCGACCTTTACCTATTTATTGTGGTGTGGTACGAGCATTTCCACCCACATGTAAGAGTTATTTTCGTCTTAAAATAGAATATGAATTTTGAGTAAGTTTTTGTCCTTGTCCCCTATGGGCAGTCTTCAAAACAGGGGTGAGCAAGGATCAAGTATCCGATCTAAACTTTGGGATATCTAAATAATTTTTCAGATATCAAACCAATATCCAAAAGTTTTTGAATCGGATATATCGGGTATCTGATATCCGAAATAATTTTAATTTTTTGAATATGTTTTTAGAAAATGTGAAATAATATCCAATTTTTGGAATTTTGGATTGGATATATCCGAAATCATGATATATTTGATGGAATATCTCTTATCCGAAATCATGATATTTGAATTGGATATTCGTTATTCGAATTATTTCGAATATCGAATATCCAAAAATACTGATATCTTAATAGTTATCCAATATCCAAAATTTTCAATTTGGATATCCAATCCAAAATTAGTATCAAATCGAATATCCTAAAATATAGAATCAGATGCGATCGAGTCTTTGGATATTTTGATTGGATATCTCTTATCCAAAATCATGATATTTAGATTAGATATTCGTTATCCAAAATATTTAAGATATTTTTCGAATATCAACTGATACCTTAATATGTATCCAATATCCGAAACTTCCAATCCAAAAATAGTATTGAATTGAATATTTAAAATTATCGAATCAGATGCGGATCGAATCTTTGAATATTTGGATCATTCGATAGTTTTGCTCAACCCAATCTTCAACCTGGAATTTTTGTGTTTTAAATAAAGGGAAAATACATCTTATGTAAACAAATCTATAGCAAATATTAAAGTAGCAACCGCTGACATCATTCTATTTTAAAATTGGACACATGTGATGTTTTCGTTGAAAAAAAATCCTCCAAAACTATAAATGATGTCATCATTTTTTTTTTTTTTTTTAAAACAAATGATGAGTGATTTTATTTTATTTTTTAAAATTCTGGCCAATTACATTATTATTATTATTATTATTATTATTATTATTATTATAAAAATTTCAAAAAAAACCTACAAAGTCAACCAATTTACAAAAAATTGGTGGGGAGCCGAGATACAATCTGGGCCCCCACCCCTCTAGCTATAGCGAACCCGATCCTGCTGAAGATGTGAGCAGCTGCACGAGCACCAATATCTTGAGCCTTAGCGAACGCCTGAACCCGCTTCAGCAACGCAATAACATCCTTCTCTAATTCCCCCAACGAAGAAAAAGGAGAAAGGAAGAAAACCATAGCTTATAGCCCTGCAACGCGCCCCATACTTGTCTCGCTTCCTCTGAGCCGCTGCCGACACAACACGACCAGGAACGAAGTCAGACAACCCCGATTGCGTTAAAGGTGAAGACCCCGTCAAGTCAACAC